CCTAGCCTTTGGATTAATACTTGATAGCCGATTTGTTTAGTCATCGACTCTAATAGCCGGTACCAGAAGGGTATCGCCTTTAGTTCAAAAATCAACCCTAAGGGGAAAAGCCGATACGATATGTATTGCATATAGAGCAAAAATACACAGAAAGACAATCAGACTTATATTTCAGTAGATTCAGAAACGCATTCATGAAGAGAAGCATAAATTGTATTCATTGATAGTTTGTTCCTAGTACAAACTAATCAAAAACTTTATTCATTACATCTTGGGCATGGATGTAATGTCCACGATGGCCGCAACTGCATCGTCGAAGTCTTCGATCAAGTCCTCATGCATGTCGGGGTCGTCGGCCATCGGGAAGCCTGGCTCCATAGTGCGGAGCTTGTGCCCGATCTGACTGCGCCATGGCCAGGGCCACTGCTGCGCCACGGGGGACGCCGTGGAGGGCGATCTCCTAGACACGCACCGGGACATCATGCAGACTGTTGATGAGTAAGGGGCCGTGGGCATTGACGGCCGCCATAGCCGCGTTCGCCGCCAGTTGGAAGTTCTCCAACTGCACCGTCAGGGCTGGCAATCATAGAAACAAAAAACTATCAAGACAAAGGTAGAGAAAATAAGAACAAAGGTTTTCTTGGAATCCATCTTACCCGCCACCATGGTGTCCGATTTAGCCAACCGCGCCCAGGCGGCGTTGGTTTCTTCCTCAGTAGCAAGGAGGGCGGCTTGAGAGGCCTCGAGGTGGTCTCAAGCTGACCGTTCTCCTAAGTTGCCTCGAGTAATGGTCCTTGGCCGCCTTCCATTCTTGGAGGAAGCGTCGGGTGTCGTCGCTAGTGTAGGAGTCAGAGGAGTCCAACGATAAATCTAGCGCAAGGGCGGCAACAGACTCAGCATTGGAGGGCTCGCCGGCCCTAGGAGGAGGAGGAGGAAGCTTGTTGTTCAAGACAAACCTGCAGACACGTCAGAAGGTGATCTATTGATAGGAGCAGGAGTTGTTTGGTCCTACGTCATGCGGCGGAGCCGCTGGCTCACCGACATCTCCTCCTCTAGGAGATCTTCCGCTGCACGCTTATCGTGGTTATCTTCGCTGGCCATGGGTGCTAGTTTAGATCTTGAGGGGAGGAGAGGAAACTGCTACAGGGTCTGTGAAGGTGGAGGGATGCAGGAGAATGAGAGCAGTTGCAAATGTAGATGTGTTTGAGGCCGAAGCCCTTGCCTGGCATTTATAGCCACAAAGGCGAGACGTTAGATATCTTGAGACGTGTGAAAGTAACCCCAATTAATGGAAGGGGAGCGTCACTTTGCTAATACCGAGGGAAATGTGGCGTTGATGACTAAGAAGGAATTCGAAGGGTTTTGTGATGAAAGCCGTTTTCAGATTCAGTTAAGTCAGAGTAAAGTCAGAAATCAGAAATCGGCTAATTCAAATCAGCTCATCTAGCCGGACCAAAAATACAATTATCATCAAGTTTATGTGCTATAAATACTTGGTGCATCAGGTGATAAGCAGACCCCAACAAATATTTTCCGAGGGGGATTTCGTTGCTGGCTACTAGACGCTCTACCATGTATTTATGAATATAAGTTGGCCCGCAAGATGACCCACAGAAGATGAATCTTTCCAGCCACATGTTCAGAAAAGCTATATGCTCTCTTTCGTCAACAATCGATCCATCTTTAATATGGTTTAGAATATAGCTTGCCCATCCTATGCAGTCTGATATTTTAGCTAATTTTTTTAGACCCAACACTTAAGAAATCATAGGGTCGCATTGATCCTGTTATTCTAAGGCCGGTCAACATATAAATATCAGCTAAAGTGATGGTCATTGAACCATGACAAAAAACAAAAGCATTCAAAGTGTTGGACCAAAAGTAAGATGTAGAAATCAGAAGTGAGTCATTCCTCTCTATTCCAGACAGTGAGAGTATCAGGAATTGATTCAAGTCATAAGTTTCCCAATCTCTAGCCTTTTTCTCTAATACCCTTCGGAACCAATCCCTCCATCCTTTAGGCATTTTGTTTGAAGGAGAGTCTTGGTATTCTAAGAAGACAAATCTACTACAGATTGTTTGAAGGAGATTCAATTGGTTTCTTGATTGATAAAATCGGATGGATTAGGGTCACCCATGGATCCAAGATAATAGGCATTAGGAATAACAGCTGATGGAATCAGAATTTCATTCCTCATTTCCATGAAACCAATTGGAATAAATTTAAGAAAAGGAAAATAAAGAGTAGCGGCTAACACTTGAAAGACAGAAGTTTGAAGGCATACCTCGGAACGTGATCGCTGATTGTCATTGTAGCCAAAATAGATCTGAATCTGAGGAAGGCTATTTGAACGATAGCTTGGTAGAGCAAGAGGATTTGCTAGGGTCACTATTCACCTAAACGGCCGTTTAGCTTGTTTAAACACCGTGTAAACGTTACACGGTGGTGCTCCGTGTCCGTTTATTCGTCCGTTTACCCGGTTTAATTGTCTGTTTAGCCCGTTTAATGGACTGTTTAGCCAAAATAAAGGCTAAACGGTAGGTGACCGACTATTTACCGTTTAGCGTTTAGAAAAACATTGGCTAGGATTAAGGCTTTGGTGGTGGCGGCTTTGGCTGTTGAAGTTTATTCGAGAAAGAAGGGGAAAGTAAGTAGGCCGAGCGAATTGGAGATGATACTGTTGGGGTATTATATAGAATTTGGTCCAAGAAGTCAGAAGACATGTGTTTATTTTGGAATGAGCAGTTGCAACACGGGAAACATAATAGGAATTTTGGAATAAAATCATTTTTATCCCAAAATTGGGGGGCATGTGTTTACACCAAAATTTGAGAAGAAGAATGCTAAAACTCGAAGCTTCTAGGATTGTATCATCAAGGAATCGATTGGATGAGAATCAGTATCGGCTGATTTAGATGTAATATCATAATCGGCTATTTTATGGATGACGTCAGCAGACGGCGTCAATATTCTATACTTGAGTGGCGCTATGGAGACATATCAGACTCTACGAATAAGAAAAGTTGGGGTCCAAGTTATTTTTAAGTTAGGAAGTTTTCTTTTATTCCAAAAATTGTAATGAGTCGTATTTAACTAGGATTCATGTTTAGGTTCTAGGTATAAATATTATACCTTGGTTATTGTAAAAAGAGACAAACACACAATCAATACAATCTTTCCTTACTACTTTTGGTTGATTCACCCGTTATCGATTTTGTGTTAGATAAGTTGTTATTTAACACAATATCACCAGTTATCGAGTCTGCTGAGATTAGTAAAATTTTCCTTACTACTTTTGGTTGATTCACCAGTTATCGATCTTGTTATAATTAATGCCTTATTAATTATAACAAATTACCTAATTGAGATAGAGATAGATCAGAATCATATCATCTTAATTGGTCGTCTTCTAGTCTGGTTACGCTTTAAATTTTATGATTGATGGCTTAATTCCGCTAGATCGGCTGTTGTATTTCTATTCCAATCAGACATAGTATGCATTTAAAGACATGTTTCAATCTTGAATTAAACTTACTAGTTAATGAGATCTAATCTAATGACACTACTATAGCTGTATCGATCCGGTCGAACCTCACTGGTAAGACTTTAGATTAGAAATTATCGATTAGTGGTCTTGTTCATGATCAAGATATGTACTTTGTTTGTTTGCTATGGCCGCATCGGCTATTTTAGTCGATTTGCCTATACTCTCACGCATATAGCATGTTTTCATGAATCTATTGACATGTAGATGGTTTTATAGATTCTTTATCTTCAGTTTATCATCATTATCATAGCTGTATCGATCCGATCGAGCCTCACTGTTGATGATAATAGATTAGATTCAAAATATTTGTAGATTCATTTATATTAGACAGTCGATTTGTTCACATGCTATACTCTTTTCATCAAACTTATCGACTCAACACTTTATATTGATCATGTTCCATTTAGCCGATGATGCTTTCTTGTATCGTTTCTTATGGATACGTAGGATATTGACTATTTAGTCGATAGCTTTATTGAATTGGCTATTTAGCCGTACATTTGGAACAGTTTGGTTCAACACCGACATGTTCCACCTTAAATTACTGATAAGATTTTCTCTCCTTGTCAATTGCAGATCAAATTGACTGGCACGTCGTTGGGTTTTTCATAATCACCTGGTTCTGTGTTGAAGCCAAATAGATCTCTGGTCTCGTTCCACTCAGATCTTCCGGCTTGCTGTGTGTTGATCACATTGCCACATTTTTGTGTCAACAGACGAATGGAGCTCGTCGACGTTGGAGCGTAGCTCAATGCCACGGAGTGCTCGGAGGTCGCCGGTGCGGAGCTTGGCGGGAGGCGCGAGTCCAGACGGCGGGCGGGCGGGGGCGGCGCCAGCGAGCGGCGCAGGTAGAGTCCGTCCCTGTGATGGCGGGCGGCGCGGGCGGGGGCGACGCCGGCGACCGGCGCAGGCGGAGTCCGTCCGAGTGGTTGCGGCACGGGCGAAGCGGGTCGTCGCATAGCGAAGCGGGGCGCTGCGGGCGGGCGGGCGGGCGACGGGCTGGGTCCGTGAATGAGTGGATGAGGATGGGTCCGTGAATGAGTGGATGAGGCTCGTCCAAACAAGAGTCATGGAACGGACGCACTGATACAAGCATTACCGTCCAAACAAGGTCTAAGTAGTTTTTTCATTGATATCACCCTTAGTTTGTGGTACACAAATAGTGTTAATAGTGTTCATACATTATAACTTTGATTGATCACATAACACGGTACATCGGCAGGGGGTTGGGGGGAACTTGCCTCCGTTTCCCACTCGTGAATCTCTTGCTGCACTCTAACAACTCGTACAGACGGCATATATATAGCCGGATTCCTGATATCTCACCTACTAATTAAACTGAGACACCTCATCAATCCAATAATGTATAACATAGATACGGTACGTACCAAATTAATCAAAAATCAATGACCCCGAATAGTTGATGTCCTAATCGAGCAAATCAATTAATACTGGATAATGGAGCGGTAGTAGGTGTTGGGCACCCAGTTGGCCGGGATGACCTGATTGGCCACCAGCGTCCTGCCGGACTCGTTTGTGATGCGCAGCGAGAAGGGCGCCTGCAGCCGGTGGTTGGAGTCGAGCCTCCAGATGGATCCCCAGGACTCGCGCATCGGCGTCCAGTAGCCTGAGTTGGCCTCCATCAGGTCCACCTGCACCACGTCGCCGTCGCCGTCTTCAAACTCGACGAGCACCGCGAGGTAGACGGAGTTGGACCCCTCCTCGACGTGGAAAGTCACCTTCTGCCCAGGGTAATTGCAGGGCACTCTGCAGGAATTAAAGCCCATGTGATATGTTGGATTAGGCATTAGGCTTCAGATAGTAGAACACAGGTATAGTACACGCAAGCCAAGTTGTGAAGTACGTCGAAGTATATAGTACTAAGATCTGTGCGAATCTACTTGGGACTGCCCAATAATGGATAATCGATCATTGTCGTTAAGAGTTAGTTGAGCAAAGTACAGGGGCTCGCTCCACAGCACCAGTAAATAGACGGTCGAAATATGATTGTGTTCAGGTAGTAGGGTCTACTGCAGGTTGTTGCACTGTCTCTTTATTTGGCTCTGTGCAGCGAGCAATGCATGTTACTCCGCCTACCTCTTGAACTGGATGTCGATGATGCCGGCGTGGCGGAGCTCATCGCTGCGGCCAGGCTTAGCCATGGCACCGAACGCCGTGCCGCTGAGGTCGAAGTGGTACTTGGCGACCGGATAGTAGTTCATGTCGGTGATGATGACCGTCTCCGGGTTGCCGGAGCATGCAGCGTGGTTTTGGCATCGGATCTGCAAAGAAAGGGAAGTAAAACTACTGAGTGCGCGTGATGTCAGTCAAAAACCAAAACTGTGCATGAGCTTTCCCTTTGCGTTGCACTAGGCCGGGTTCTTCGTACCTGGTAGCATGAACCGCAGCCCTTGCCGTCCTTGAACAGTGGCTCGTTGCCACAGGACGTCATGGCTGAGAACGGAGGCAAGTTCACGTTCTTGAACCCGCAGGCGCCACCTGCATGCACACAAATGGATGCCGCGCGCGCGGCATGCAAAGTTTATTGATACATCGTCCAAAAACAGGGCAATTAGCTATATAAAGTTGAGTTTATTTATTTACAGGCCGGTAACGGTAATAACTAACACCAAGCGTGTGCGTACCGTCGTCGTCAGGACCGGCGCCAGTAGGTGCCCCATACCAGGTGGCCCTGGCAGCCTCCCAGTTAGGGTCGGCGGTGAAGTCAGAGGCGTTAAAACTTACAGGCCTAGCGCAGGAGCCATACGTGACTAGGAAGGAGAAGAAGAGCGCTGCAAATGCAAGAGCCTTGGAAGAGAAGGTCGTTGCCATCTTGGCTTAGTGCAGCAAAGACAGTCCTAGCTACTCCAAGCTGAAGAAGGTGGCTAGTACTGATGAGATTGTGAGTTTGGATGGTCGGGGAAGAGCACCTCTGCGAGGGGCATTTATAGGCAGGAAAAGCATCGTTAGAACGCAGTTCCCCGGCCGCGATCGCCATCAGAGGTCGTTGCACCCGACGCTCTTTGGTAGGGGTCACATGGCTCTGGAGCAAATCATGCGAGGAACGGAGACTTCGGGTCATGCGTGCACCATTAAAAAAGTAACGGCTTCTTGGCAGTTATATATCCCCGTGACTAAGGATGAAAACGGTTGGAAACGGTCGAAAAACTTCTAAATTGTTTTCTACTTTTACATTTGAAATACGAAAACAAAAGCGAAAACGGTAAAACCGGACACGAAAACGAACGCGAACTTACGAATTATCAAGAATTTCGAAAACGAACCAATTTGAGCGGATTTATGTCGAACACGGTCGATATACGAAAACTCAATACGGAATACCGACCCGTAGACCAAGTGCATGACTAAGTGCATACATGATCAAGTTCAAGTGCATATAATAATTAACAAGTACATATTATAGAAACATGAACTCAAACTGAGTCAGAATAATTTTATTAATCTTTTTAGAATAGATGTAGTATTTTATTTTAAAGATTTATTCAAAATTTTCTTTTGAGTAACAAAGATTTATTCGGCTGATGCAAAAACTATCAAATGATTGACTTTGCAGGTGGGGGTTAAACCGATGAGCTTGATGGGCTATGGCCCAGGTGGGCTTTCATGTAGATGCTGTTGGTTTCCTGACATTTAGCACCATCTCATGAGGTGAAGAGAGATGAGGCTCGGCACCGTCTATAAGAGAGGGCAACTAGCCACCGCAGAAAGAACGCAGCTGCGTGGTGAACAACCTGTAATTGGGCTGTATGACCTGTGCAGTTGGTCAAATTCGGTTTAAACCAAATTTTTAATTCGAAATATTTCAAATTAAAAGTAGAAAAGTAGAAAACGGTCGGAAAATATCTAAACCGTTTTCTACTTTTACATTTGAGATACGAAACATCTGAAATGCAAAAGCGAAAACGGTAAAGTCGGACAAGAAAATACGGATTCGATCGAATTAAATATAGAAAACGATGCGATTCGGTTCAGGATATTTCCGTTCGGTTTTCATCCTTACCCATGACCCCATGCTGTGTATTGTTCAACACTGTCTTTTTTTATATATATACTTCAACAGTGTCTTTCTAGCTACCTGCACACTGACTGATTCTCGAGACACATTTTTAACGTTCTTCCATCGACTAGAAATGCACAGCCAACCCGGCCTCTGTGATAATGTGTTAGGAACGGGAGATTCGCGTACAGCCAGATACAGAAGGAAAGGCATCAGGTTTACACAATCAGAACACAGACATCATTATTGGTACTGATGCACTGAAACGATTCTGTGCACCAAATTGAGGATCATTTTGTGTTGGAAGGGAGACACCTAACCGTTTCAGTTTCATGTAGGAAAAGAGAGATGCCATACCGGCACCACGATATATAGCTTAATAGCTAGTAGTACACTACAATGATACGGTGAACGCCGTGTTGTGTATTATAAAACTGCATCGGGCAATATGGTGGTTCCAATATAAGATAGCCTGCGATATGTTAATTATTAATTGATTGATAATCTGCCCTCACTTTGTACATTGGACATGTCAAAACACGCAAGTGTTCATTTTCTTTACTACTTGACTAATAACCTGTCAACTTGTGCTCCAACACAATTAATCTAGAATATTTGTCCATAAATTTATTTCATATTAATGATTATATTTTCACCCCCTCTCTATTCATTTCAGAACATTATACTTCGCGGGCTTTCAGAATGTATTTTGGTTGAACATCGTGGGTTTTCAGAATGTATTTTGGTTGAACTTTAGTTTAAGTCATATCAACTCTTTTGCGTTTTTATATTATAAATCTTTGGCTTACAATTTTGATTTTATAAGATTTTTGTAATTTTTTATACAAACTTTGATTTTATATTTTATCCAAAATTTCATTTTATATTTTACAAAAAATGATTAGAGATCCTAGACTCCACTTTTAGTTACTATATTGATATAAACAATTAATTCAGCCAACATCACAGCAGTCAAGATATTTAATTACCTCTATCAAATAATTATGTGTGAAGTAGTGCTATTATGAAACAAATAATTAAATATTCTATGCTTAGAATTAAGCTACCAACATCGATATGTCATATTGTTTAGTGAAAATGTATAAACTTATCCAAAGTAACCACTTACAAGATTCTAATGTCATAGAGTTTTAATATAATTTAAAATAAATTTTCCGTGTCATTGTTATATGGTTTGTTAAGGGGATTTTTCACGGCGATAAACTATAAAAATATATATGTATCACTAATATATACATGATTTGTATACTGAGTGATGCATAGTATTTATGTCTACTTTGATTTTAATAGTTCTAGAAATGGGTATTTTGAAAGATATATGGCACACTTAATACTTATTTAATTTTCCACAATAGCTCATATTTGTAATTTAAATGTATATTTGACAGATATTTTAGCTTACATTTATAATGACAGGTGAGTAATTTAGATGCAATTAAGTGGTTGCTTTATATTATGCTCCGTAATGGCTGAGGTGGGTAACGTATGCAATTTAGTGGTTACTTAAATTTTATATTTCACCATGGTAGATGCAGGGGCGGAGCCAAAAATAGAAGATAGGGCCCAGCTTCAATTAAGGGGGGCCATATCTTCATAAAGGAGCTAATAAACACTAAAAATTAAGAGCCAATGAAGGATTAATAGAGGAATTAATAGGCTCTTGGGGGTGCCAGGCACCCCTCTAGCCCCTCCCTCCCTAGTTTAGATATAGCATTTGGAGATTATTTATGTCCTTCGTGCACTACTACATATAGGCTTTGTAGGGGTGGCTCATGGGCATTTATAGGGGCGGTTTGGCCAGCCGTTCCTATTAAAGCGTGGCTACAAATCACCGATTTGTAGGGGCGGTTCTCAGACCGCTCCTACAATCGATTTATGGAGGCCTACAAAATCGATTTGTAGGGGCGGCTGTAGTACCAGCCGCGCCTATAATACCTGTTTGTAGGGGCGGTTCAGTCTAAAACTGCCTATACAGTACATTTTTCCGTAAAAAAATTCAAATTTACAATTTAAATTCGACTAGAACATATATATATATATAATTCAAATTTGACTACAAACATAAGAGCACAAGGTGTTGGTACTGAGGATTTCTACCTAAGTAAACGTTACAATGTAAACCATTTATTCTACCATCATTTTAGTGAGCCAATTATTTACACATAAATATGTGAAATCGAAGGAGACTACAAATTCTTGATTGATAGTCACTATAATAGCCACCTAAGATACTAATCACTGCACAGGATTAAACTGCTACATATAAATGCCATCAGACAATCTTCCGAAATGACATTGAATCGAAAAGCTAAAAAAAATTATGATGCATATCAAAACAGGGTCAATTGTTAGAGAATAAGGAACTTCCAAATATAAGCGCATTTAAACATTTAAGGAAAGAAAATGCATTGAGACTCTAACGGTTAGATATATGGTGCTCCAGTGCCGCACCATGTTGCACAAGATTGGCCTGCTCTTTTTCCCACCTTTCTGCTTCCTTAGATAGTACAGTCTTCCATGAGACGACCTTCGCGAGATCTTGTAAGCATGGCATCCACTGCTGTCTTAGCCTTCTTCTGCATAGTATTTTATTCTTGTTGTTAGAACTAATAAGAACTTAACATATATAAAGTCTAGCAGCATCAGATGCTTACTATTAGTGGAATCAAGAAATGCAGATAACATGTAGTAATTTATTAGGACAGCTATGATAAAACTCTGATGAACC